AAAAGAAAATTACTCCAAGATACCCTATCGTGTTTGCCTCCAGGTTTTTTTTTTTGAGCTAGCTCAGGCTGTCTTTGAACTCATGTTTCTCCTGCCTCAGCCTCCGGAGTGTTGGAATTAGGAGCTGTTGGCCACGGCTGCCTCCAGGATGTTTGTAACTCTTTGAGTTACATTTGGGCTTTGGAAAATGTAATGATTCCTTTGACTTTGCTTGGTAGAACTGAAACAGTAGTAACTGCTCATGAACTTGGTCTTTGGCATCACAGGGTATCTTATGACTGACTTAACAGTTGTAGTGTCTTCTGAGTAAGTTGGTCCAGCTTTTGGCAAAAGCTATTTTGTGAAGGGCTTTGATTTGAAAATTCTTTGGTTATTGAAGTCAGCAGTTGATAATACATTTAGGGTGGCCCTTCATTGGATTTCACAGGTCTTTTACTCACTGATGTTTGAATCAGTCAGTAGCTGGTTTAGCCATATTCAATTTTAAATAAAGTGTTCAGTGTCGTTAGTGTCTCTCTATCTCAATTCTTTTTTTGACAGAGTCTTTGCTACATAGCCTAGGCTGGCCACAACACTTTCCTTATGTATAGCCCAGAAACTCCCTATCCTCAGCACTTTAAAGGGCTGGGATTACATCATGTACCACTATGCCTGGCTTAGTGACATTTCTAAATGGTAGCACAACACTTTAAATGTGTTACTATTGATTTATATGACTAGTTTCCTATCTGATTTGAGAGATTCTGACACATTTGGTAAGTTTAAAATGAATGTACTCATGAGTACATTACATTGTTATGAAGGCTTTATCTTACATATTTTGTGTGCTTTTGTAAAAGGTGATGGATTACAAGATAAATAGAAAATTTTCCATATATATTATTAATAACTCATGAAAGACAATGGGAAAATAGACTTCTGGGGTGGTTTTTTTGTTTCATTTTGGCAGTATTTGGGGGTTGAAGTCTGGGCCTCAGGGTCTTGCGCTTGCAAAGAAAGTGCTGTATCTCTTGAGCCACTCTGCCAGCAAGAAAAAACTTTTAATAGCAATTTGAGAATAGTCTTTATTTCTGCCAGCTTTGTGGTGCTAGAGAGGGATAGACTCCCAGACCTCACAGTGCTAGGCAAGTGTTCTACCAGGATTTTTTTTTTTTTTTAAAGGAACATGGATTTTTAATCACACAAACCTGGATTTGATCTTGGCTTTACCATTTATTGTGTCAGCTTGGCATCTTTTTTTTGTGTGCGTGTGACTGGGGTTTTGAACTCAGGGTTTCATGCTTTCATAGTAGGCCCTCTACTGCTTGAGCAGTTGTCCATTTTGCTCTGGTTATTTCAGAGATGGTGTCTCATAAACTGTTTGCCCAGACTGGCCTGGAACCTCAATCCTCCCAATCTAAAGCTCCCAAGTAGCTAAGATTACAGATACTGGCTGACAAGTTATTTAAATGGGTGGTGTTAATGTACATAAGAAACAATTGTTGTAATACAGATGTTGATTGTTAGGTCTGTGGTGTGACCCAGAGATTGTATATTTCTAGCAAGGTCCCAGGTGATGCTGGTGTCCACATTTGGAGTTCTTAGGTTTTACAGTATCTAAGCTCCAAGCTTTCTCAGTTTTCCTAACTTGAAGATAATAAAATGTACCATTTGGGGTGTTAAGTGATGAGGTGAAAATGTGTGAAATTTTTTTATACAGTGACTGCTACGTCATAAGCATTATTAGTATTGCTAAAAAGTTAATAAACATGGATCTTTTTTGTTTCTGAATGAGAAAACTAAATATTATAAAATTGTTATTTCTTAGCAATAAGTGCAGAGGTTCAAGATAGTTCTAATTCAAAGCCATTTAACTTTAGAGATACCTCATTTGTTGCTTGTTTCCCAGCGTCAATGTAGAATCACACAGACTTCAAGGACTATCAACAAGTTTGGGAACTCTGCAAGATGTATTTCTGGCTGTAAACCTCAATTGCCAACATCTCTACCCTAGATGTTGAACAGTCATCTTCACACACAACAGCCCTTCCCCAGTGTTAGTTGTGAAATTTAGAAGTGAGTTTAGCTGTATTTTCTTTCCCTCCCTCCCTCCCTAATTCCCTCCCTGTCTCTTTCTCTGTCTCTCTCTTTTCTTCTTCTTTTTTTTTTTAACTGGGATTTGAACTCAGGGCCTCACGCTTGCTAGGCAGGTCCTCTACCACTTGAGCTACTCCACCACCCTACTCTTTCTGTTTTTTTGAGACAGGTTCTTGCTGTGCAACCCAGGCTGGCCCTTCTTTCCCAGCTTCCCAAGTGCTGGGATTACAAGCTGTGCCACCATGCCTCGCTCTGTATTTTCTTCCTTTTCTTTTTCTTCTTTCTCTTTTTTCTTTCTTATCCTTCCAGTCCTATTAGCCAGTGCAATCTGGTTTTCACCTCTTCTACCTCTATCTGCAGCTACTGTATTCACACTGAGGCTGAAAGTGCCCTGATTACCAAAGTCAGGTGATTTGGTTCCCACCTTGCTCTCTTGGGAGCATTCCTCACGGTACATCCTTCTGAGAACTTTCTGTTACCTTATGCCCGACACAACGATCTCTCCTAGTTCTTCTTTGGCCAGCTTTTATTTGCGTGGGGCTGGGATTTGAACTCAGGGCTTCGCAATTTGCAAAGTAGGTGTACTGCTTGAGCCACACCTCTAGTCCATTTTTGTTCTGATTATTTTGGAGATGGGGGTCTCCTAAACTGTGCCTGGCTGGGTGCCAGTGGCTTATGCCTGTATTCCTAGCTACTCAGGAGGCAGAGATCAGAAGGATAACAGTTTGAAGCCAGCCTAGGCAAATAGTTCGTTAGACCCTATCTTGAAAAACCCGATCACAAAAAAAGGACTGGTGGAGTGGCTCAAGGTGAAGCCCTGAGTTTAAACCTTAGTACTGCAAAAAACCAAACAAAAACAGTTTGGGCTGGCCTTGAACTGTGATCCTCCTGATTTTAGCCTCCCGAGTAGCTAGGATTACAGGCATGAGCCATGGCACCTGGCCTCTGGCCAGTCTTGGAGTCTCCTTCTGTGAATTCCTTAAAGGTACATGTCTCACAGGAATTTTATCATTAATGCTTTTTCTTTTCGATTAACAGACTTTTTGTCTAAAGTGGTCTTGATCCTTGCTGTGACTCTAGTTCTATACTTTCAGTTACCTGCAAGGTGACCCCACGTAAATGTTCCATTGGTAGACCATAGTTAGATTTATTTAATTTATTAACTCAGTATCTTCCTGCAGTGGTGATTCCACTTGCTTTCCCTATTGGTTCCGTTAACCACCAGTCAGCCCTGTCAGCCCGAGATTCCCTTCTCTGTTCCTTCATGCCTTACATTCAGTCTGTTACTCAACCATGTGGTTTCTGTCTACTTGATAGTTCTTAATCTGTCTCCTTTCCACTGTCACTACCCCCAGTGTATTTATTTGTAGTGGTGTGGGGAAAAGAAGAGGAATGGGCATTAAAATCACCTTCGTAGTACCTTTTTTCTCTTTTCTTTCTCTTTTTAGCAGCACTGGGGTTTGAACTTACAGCCCCACGCTTGCTAGGCAGGTGCTCTTAGTGCTTGAGCCACTCTGCCAGTCCATTTTTTTTTTTTTTTTTGAGATACAGTCTTGCTGTGTATCCAAGCACTCACCATCCTGCTGTCTCAGTCTCCTAAGTGCTGAGTAAGGTGCCACCATGCTCAGTTTATATAGTATTTCTTTTATTTTTTGTGGTACTGGGGCTTGAACTCAGGGCCTGTACCTTGAGCCATTCCACTAGCCCTTTTTTGTGAAGAGTTTTCTCAAGGTAGGGTCTCACGGAACTATTTGCCTGGACTGGCTTCAAACCTCAATCCTCCTGATCTCTGCCTCCTCAGTAGTTAGGATTTCAGGCGTGAGCCATTGGTGCCTGGCCTGTGTTAGTATTTCTTAAAATAAGTACACATGCTGCGTTCTTCTTGCAGAGCTTCTGAACCAGTGTATAACACTTCCTTAGCCGCCCTGTTTTTATTCTTCCCTTGTGCACTGCTGACAGGATGATTTGTCAAAATGCAGTCACTCTGCTTAGCCTTTCAGTAGGTCCTCAAAACCATTAAGGAAAAGTCTACCTCCCCTGCCTTCTGCTGAGGATCAAACCCAGGGCCTTGTGCATGACATACTTTCTTATTTAATTAACTGTAACATCAGCTGATGAGTAACGATAATATAATACTGTCATGGTCTTCTGTTTGTCTTCTTGTTGTGTCAGTTGCAAATTCAGTTTATTTTCATCCATTTATGTTTATTGAATACTGAACTGCTTATTCTGTATTTATTTTTTGTTGATAATGGGGTTTGAACTCAGGGCCTCATGCTTGCTAGGCAGGTACTCCTGCCATTTGAGTCAAGCCCCCAGCCCTTTTTGCTTTAGTAGTTTTTTAGATAGAATCTCAAGTTTTCGCCTTGGGGCTGGCCTCAGACCTTGATCTTTTTACCTAGGACTTCCTGTCTAGCTGTGATTATAGCTGTGTACTGCTGCACCTGGCCTGAAAGAGGATTTAAAATATCCAAGCTACTCAGGCAGAGATCAGAAGGAAAGCAGTTCGAAGCCTGGGCACATAGTTCTTGAGACCCTATTTCAAAAAAAAAAAACCCAGCACAAAAAAGAGCTGGTGGAGTAGTGGTTCAAGTTGTAGGCCCTGAGTTCAAATCCCAGTACTCTCCCTCGCCATACACACACACAAACACACACACACACACACACACGCACATGTAAATCTTGTGAGATTATAGTTTTGGTAGGCAGTATTTTAAGATGACCTCAGGATTCCACCCACATATTACTCCCTTCCTCTTGAGGGTAGGTGGAACCTATAAATATGGTGGGATATAACTCATGTCATTTGGTTATGTTACAGAATAAACGGGATTTTTGCAGAGGTAATTACATTTAATTTTTTTGTTTTTTTTTAAAAAGGGTTATCCTAAGCTGGGCGCTGGTAGCTCTTTCCTGTAGTTCTAGCTACTTGGGGAGACTGAGATTGCAAGGATCCTGGTTTGAGGTGAGCCTTGGCAAAAAGTTCTCGAGACCTTTTCTCAACCAATAGCTGGGCATGGTGGTGCTCATTGACAACACAGCTAAGGCAAGGAGTGTAAATAGAAGGATGGTGGTCTAGGCCACCCTGGGCACAAAATGAGACCAGAGCAAAAAGGGCTGGAGGCCTGGCTAAAGCAGTAGAGTGCCTGCTTAATAAGTACAAAGCCCTGAGTTCAAACCTCAGTCCCATTGATCTAATCAAGCCTTTTAACAGGATTTAGAGATCAGAGAGAAGAGAAATTTGAAGTAAGAGTCTCCTGCTGGCCTTTAGAAGAAGCAAAACAGCTGTGTTCTGAACTTCATATGGAGAAGTCTATGTGATAAGAAAGGAATGTGTCAACTCTAGGAGTTGAGTGAGTCTCAGCTAAGAGCCAGTGAGAGAGCATAGCCTGAGTCTTCCACTAGAAAGGGCTGGGATCTACTAACAAATAATGAGTTTGGAAGAGGACCCCAAGGCTCAGAGGAGTTTACACTTTCATTTCACAGCCTAGTCCTGTCCTAAGCAGAGGACCAGCTAATCTGTACTCAGAATCCCAGCACACAGAAGTTGTGAGATAAATGTGTGTTACTTTAACAAAAGTTTGATTATAAAATTTATAATCATGAATAAAATTTGTTGCTGAAACTGCGTAGGGGCAAACATAGTAATAAAAATTTGGGAGGGTAGATAGAGGAGCAAGGTTGAACTTAGAGAAGGTTTGACCTCGGTGTTCAAGGATGATGGATGAAACATTTGCAGGTCATTCTACACAGAGGGAAGAGCTGAGAAGAGGAAAACTGAAAAGTTGAGCTTCAATGGCTTTGGGAGACAGATTGGGAGGATTGTGGTTTGAGGCCTGCCTGTGCAAATAGTTCAAGAGTCCCCATCTTCAAAATAACCAGAGTGAAAGGGACTGGAGGTGTGGCTTGAGTGATAGACTATCTGCTTTGAAAGTGCTTTTTGCAAGCATGAAGCCCTGAGTTCAAACCCCAGTCCCACCAAAACAGACAAAAAAATGGAAACATGCAGAGTATGTTTGATGCCAAAATGCGCTGTGTTGTAGAAGTTGAGCTGATAAATACTTTTACTTTAGGATTAGCTGTATGCAGTAGATAACATAACCATGTTCTAAGCAGGTTGGGCCATGTGTGGTTTATTATGGAGAGCTGGAATGTCTGGTTTCATACCTCAAGAAGGTCTGCACTGCTGTTTCACATAATAAAATTGTCATTTTGTTTTGTTTTTGGTGGGACTGGGGTTTGAACTCAGGGCTTCATGCTTGTAGAGCAAGCATTCTAGTACTGCTTGAGCCACACCTCAAGTTCATTTTGTTCTGGTTATTTTGGAGATGGGGGTCTCTCAAACTGTATTTGCCCTGACTGGCCTTGAACCCTGATCCTCTTGATCTCAGCCTCCTAAGTAGCTAGGATTACAGGCGTGAGCTACATTGCATCATTCTTAAAGGAAAAAATAAAACTTCTTCTTCAGTTATTCTAGCTCATCTCGACTTTTCTTTTTTCTGAGTTTCTGTAATCCTGTTCTTTCCATACTTCTGTCCTCTGGTCTTTGGGTTGCTTCAGTTGGTGGAATCATCAAGCTGTGTATTGCCCATTTCAGGTTTCCCCATTTTAGGGGGAACCGTATTGTATTCTGCTCTGGAGTTGTATATCACAGTGGTTTTGAGAGTCATGATACCTTTTGTGAAAATACCATTGGGAGGAAAAAAAAAAGAAAATTGAACAACTTAAAGTGAACAATTTAATGCTATAACGAGGTATTGTTTTCTTTTTTGAGTTTTTTTTATTTCCTACTTGCATTTGCTAGGCAAGTGCTATACCACTTGAGGCATGCCTTCAGCCCTTTTTACTTTTTAGTTATTTTTCAGGTTGATTTTTGTGCATTTTGGCCTTGGATCTAAATTCTCTGACAAACACCTCCTTCGTAGCTGGGATCATCATTGTGTACAACAGTACCTGGCTTGTTGTGTTTGAGATAGGGCCAGACTTGAACTGCAATTCTATCTTTGCCTCCAGAGTGGCTGGGATTATAGGTGTGAGCCATCACACGTGTAATTTCTGTTTTTATAAAATATATTTTTATTTAATTTTTACCTTTTTTGGTGGTACTTGGGTTTGTACTCAGACCTTGTGCTGCTAGGCAGGAGCTCTGCCACTTTCTTTTTTGGGGTAGAACTAGGGCTTGAACTCAGGGCTTTGAGTTTTAAAGCAGGTGCTCTGTCACTTGAGCCACACCCCCAGCCTCTGTGTTTTTATTTTTAAGAGATAAGGTCTTGCTTTGTTGCCCAGGCTGACCCTGAATTCCTGGGCTCATGGGATCTTACTGCCTCAGCCTCCCAAGTAGCTGGGACTATGGGGATGTACCACTGTGCCTGGCTCCAGTATTTTGGAATTGAAAGTTTCTATTTTTAAAGTTACCATGGAACAAAAATTTACATTTTTTTTTGTTGTTGTTGTTGTTGTTATATAGTTCTCTGAATTATTATTATTGCTAGGTTTTTTTTTTTTTTTTTGTGGGCCTCGTTTGCAAGCAAGTGCTCTGCCGCTTGAGCCACACCTCCAGCCTATGTCTTGGTTTTAATCATCCAGTAAGTTGTGATTTTCTTGGATCTTTATATATCAAGTCAGTTTAGATATTTTGTATTCTGGCCATTTTGAATATCTTATTATGGGACTCTAGGTCTTGTTTAAGTTATGTGGAGAGTGCTAATGGTTGTGTTTTAGGAGGCAGTAGGGGAAATGTGGCCCAGTGCTTGTTTTTGTGATAAAAGATTTAGTGTTACCAGAGCCATGCCCATTTGGTTATGTATTGTCTGTGGTTGCTTTCATACTGCTGTGATGGTCATAGTGGAGCAGTTGTGACAGACTACATAGCTCACAAAACCTTTGATAGTTACTCTTTGTCACTTTGTAGAAAAGGTTTGCTGATCTGATCTATCCCATAGTTAAGTTCTCAACGTCTGTTGTGCTGTTTAGGTTTGTGTATGTATAGCTTAAGGTTTTTTCCCTAGGACTTCATTAACCACTTTAAGGGTTGCTGGGCTGAAATTTCTCCTCTCTTCAGTCTCCCTATTACTTTCTGGCTTTCTGGGGATCTCTTTCTCACTTCTTGGCCAGAAATCCGTGGCTTTCTTTATCCTACTCTGCTGTGTACTTGTTTCAACTATGCCGCCTCTTGGCTGAAACAGCAGGAGATAAAAAAAGGGAGAAAGAGCAGTGGAATTTGTTTCACTCTCTTGGAACCACAACTCCTCTTGTTCGAGGTACAGTGTCCCTCTTTCAAAGATTTAGGCATCTGCTTAAACCATTGCTTTGGTTGTCACAAGATTACTTTGGTGCCAGTCACAAAAGAATGTGGAAAATGAAAAAGGAAGAAAGAAAAAAGTGACCAAGAGAAAGAAAGGAAAAAAGTAGATGAATGAGAGAAAAAAAGAATTTTATTTCTGTTCAGCCTTTGAGCATTGGGAGCCTTGTGAACTCTTTACAGAGCTCTCTGCACATGCCAGTGCTCGTGTCCAGCCTCTGAGCTGTGTTGAGTTCAGGTTGGGAGATACTAGAGGAGGAGAAAAATGCTGAAGTTGCTAGTTCTGTGATCCTTTTTTTTTTTTTTTTTTTTGGGTGGCACTGGGGTTTGAAGTCAGGGCCTCGTGCTTACTAGGCAGGTACTCTACCACTTGAGCCACTTCACCAGCCCTTTTTTGTGTTGAGTATTTTCAGATATTTTCGTGAACTATTTCCCTGGGGCCTGCTTTGAACCAGGATCCTCTGATCTCTTTCTCTTGAGTAGTTAGGATTACAGGCGTGAGCCACTGGTGCCGGCTTATTATTCTGTTAATGTTTATGGAATCTGTAGTGACATCTGACTTGCCAGGGTAGCACTCTACCACTTGACCCACACCCTCAGTCCTAGTATGATTGTGGATTGGTATTCTGCTGTGAAAGGTATGGAAGGTAGTATACCTGGGCTAGGCTATGACCCTGACTGTGATAGGGAATCACCTAGTCTTCAACAATAAACTCTATAAAATCCCTCAAGAGCTTTCTCAAAACTATGATATTTTAAAGCTTTAAGTCTTCTTCTTTCTTTCTTTTCTTTTCTTTTTTTTTTGGTGGCACTGGGGTTTGAACTCAGGCCTCACACTTGCTAGGCAGCACTCTTACCACTTGAGCCACTCCGCCAGCCCAGAATATTTCAGACTAACAGCCAACACCACAATGATGATGAAACACTTAGAGACAAATATATGAAAAAATTGAAAGTATGATGAGGGAACTTGTTACCACTAGTTACTGAGCATTATTGGAGAAGTTGTAGCCAATATGACATGTAAGTGAGGTAAAAACTGAATGAAGAGAGAGTATTGCCGTTTGCAGATATTGGAACTGCATGTTTAGAAATCCCTAGAGAATCAACAAAACCTGTTAAGACATTTTAGGATTTTTCTATGAACACTATAGACAGAACAGTAATTAGGTAGGGGTTAGGGTCATGGATTAAGTAGTAGAGCGCCTGCCTAACAGTTGCAATGTCCTGAATTCAAACCCCAGTAACTTAAAAAAAAAGTAATTGATAAATGTCAGTAGCATTATTGTACTAATTATATAAAATATCTGGGAGTAAGTCAGATAAGAAATGTGCAGGATGTAGATGAAGAAATTTATAAAAATCTCAGGAAAGGATATGGAGAAAGACTTAAATGAAAAAAATCAAAGAGAGCCTATTGGAAATGAAGGGAAGAATCAACATGATAAAGATTTCACTTCTTGTCAAATTTCTATTTCTACTTAAAGCAGTTGCACTTTCAGAAAACAAATCCAAGGTTCATCTGTGTTAGACTAAGTGTTTTTTAACCAAGATGTGCAGTAAGACATAACTTTGATTACTAGATATTAAAATGTTTTGCAGAGGCACAGTGATGTAAAGCAAAGTAGTGTGGCAGTGAGGAGGGGCTACACGAGGCTGCTAAA